TTTCATTTTTTAGTAATTTCCTTTAGATTTTGGGTCGAACCGTGAAATAGAAAATTGTTCTATTCGAAGAGCTCTATCATTTGGTACCATTATTGCATACTAATCTTGTTTGAATGTTAAGTTCTTAAATTTTAGGGTTTATGTTCATGTTAGGATTTCATGAATTGATGATGGATTTTGAGGTTGTAGAAACATTTCCAAACTTGTTTGATGATCAAAACCACCTAGAAATGCTATATTGATTTTCGGCCTAAACCCTAAATTAGGAGAAGTTTGTGATTTGATGAAATTGAGTTAGGGGTTTGATTGTAGAGGTTTTAAAATGTTGAATATAGGTTGATTTCATACTTCAGTAAAATTGAAATAAGTGAAATCATGAAACCCTACCCCCTTAACATTTGACCTAAGCTTTTGGAAGGGATAAAAAATATGGAAAAATTAAACAAGGGTTAGAAATGATGTAAAAAGGATCATACAAGCTTTAGAAAGTTATTTGGACCAATTTTTAATTTTGAGAAAGTTGAGAACCTATTTGAAAATTTTGAAAAGTTATGAGGTTGATGTGTAATTATTCAATACATGAAGTACTATACTGTAAATTAATGTTAGAGTGACGAATTTAGTGTTAGAATGTGAAATTTAACTATTTTGAGAAGTTGACAAAATTTGAGTAATAAATGGCAAATATTGAGAAAGTTAGTGACTTAAGTGGTAATAATGGAATTTTTGCGGTATTGTGCTGGGAATTAGATGCTGGAAATTTAATTAAGTTGTTTGAGATTAGAATTGAAGTGAAAGGGAAAAGGGCTATTTAGAATAAAATGAAAAAATTGAGATGAATTCTAAAATAATTCCATAATTAGTAGTTAAAATGGAAAGTTGAAAAATGTTATGTGAAGTTTGGGTGAATTTGGATAAAAAGGGACTTGAATGGTCAACTTGAAGTGTTAATGTCAATATTTATGTTGTGACATGGAATTAATATCGAATAAGCATCGAAAGATTTTTAGGAATTTATTTTCTTCATATGTTAGTGAGATTCTAACATGTGGTTTTAAATGTACATGTTTTGTAAATTATGTTAATTTAGATTGTGTACTTGAAAACAAGATAAAACAATGTTAAAGCTAAGTAGAGCTTAAGGATGAAATGTGAATTTCTAAGGAAAGTTGCAAGTTAAGGACTCCAGGTGAGTGCATATTTAATTTGTATTTATGATATCCTGCAAACATTGGCTTGCGATGAGCTAGTGACAGAGTTACTATGGTAAGATCTGACTCCTAAATGTTCTGAATTTTTTTTATTCATGCATATATGTTCATTTGGTATGCTAATAAAATTAGTGAATAAGCTGAAAATATAAGTTAGTGAAATCTACCCAGATTTGTGTTATAAACAGTAAGCTTAAAAAATTAGCATAGATTCTATAGAAATGATTAGGGGGATTATTTTTATGCCGTTGGATTTTTATATCAGTATAGTTTTGTTGAGAACAAATGGATACTGATTTCAAGAAGTATACAAAAAAATATGAATTTTTAATCGATGATAGGTCAGAAAAACAAGCCAGCAGATTCTGCTCAAAACAACTTCTGTAAGAACTTGAAAATTCACTAAATTGTACAAGATGAACTAGAAGGACTTCCTTATATGGTCAGATTCTTATTCGAGTATAGTTTCCATTGGTATAAACAAATAATTTTTAAGTGTGTATATTAATACATAACAATATTCTTTAAAGGTAGTGCAAACTGCCAGCATATGAAACTTGTCTAAATTATGTTTCATGTTACTCCTATGTTATATGCTATTAAAAATGTTTGAAATGATTCATTACATTTGGCATGATAGTTAAGATTATTTATTTTGACGAATATGATGTGTTTATGTTCAAGAAAGGTAATTGATGATGATTATGATATATAAATGTTATGCGGAAAGGAATTGTTTAGGGTATTACCCATTATGTTATGATATGAAAAGTCATTTATGTCTATATATTGATATCTTTGATATTCAATAACGTATAATAATTAATGGAAAATCCATTGTATGTTGTATTCAGAGTCGTAGGTACGCTTGACATGCAGGAAGTTGAGTAAAGTTTAAGTTAAGTCAAGTTATGGTATATTTGTGTACATTACTATGGAAACGTTGGTGCATATGATATGTTTTCTTGAAGTGCATCTTATGATGATAGGTACTGTGAAGTGCCTAGTGTGAACATTATGTATGACTCACGTACATTGCATTCTCATAAATATGCATTGGGCTATGAACTTGAAAATAAGCTATGAATATGAAATTAGTTATGAATCTGAAATAAATTATGAGTTTGGAAACAAGTTCTTAATTTGAGAATAAGTTCTGAAATGTGAAAGTACGAATTATGAAAATGAAATTTGAAAGTGAATATGAAGTGAAAGATGAAAACGAGATATGAAAGTTTTGTATTGTATACGAATGAAAAAGTATATGATATGACTATTATGTATGATAATGTTTATCATGACTTTGATATGACTATTATGTATGATATTGTTTATCATGACTTTGATATGACTATTATGTATGATATTGTTTATCATGGTTTTGATAAAATCATGAGATGATTTTCAGATCCTTAATGAGGAAAATGACTTACTATCTTACCTCCCCTTACCCCATATATATGGGAAAAAAGGACAGCCAATACTAAGTGTATATTTAGTGGTAATGATTTTCACGTGTAGGTAAAGAAGAGCAGTGAAAAAGGAGCTGAGTGGGCATAATCAATAAATAAAGGTTACATGTATTAGTAATGACATCCTACCATTTTAAATTTTCTAGATGACATGTATACGAATAAGAAAAGTTTAAGATATGTTATTAGGATATAAATATGAATTTAAGTTTTGTGTTCTAGATAAAAAAATATTTTTGAAAGAGTAAAGAAATATTTTAAATTAGACAATAATTAGACAATTTATCTTATGATATAGAACAATATAAACTACCTAGTTGTTGCCTGAAACTGATTGATTTGGAGGCTTAAATACTATAATATGATTTACTTGATTACATTATTTATTAAAAGGATTGAATTAGATAATTTTAAAAGTTCAAAATTTCACTGGATTTTCAACCTTAGAATGTATGTAAAGCTATGTGACATTTTGACTCGTATTCGGGTACGTATACGGGTTAAGGGTGTTACATAAAAACTCAAACGACATATATTTAAAAAATACAATACTAAAATTATATTTTATTATTTTTAAGTTATTTAAATTATTTAATTATATTGTAATTTAATTTTTCTTCTATCCATAGTTGGTTTCAAGTTCATTTTGACGAATATGAAAACACATATTCCTCACCCACATTAGAAATATTACTCCAAATTCTATTTTGACAATTAAGTTTCTTATTTTATACTTCAATCCCTTAATTTGTATTTTATTCAATTTAGTCATCCGACTACAACTCCTTACAAATTCTTATCTATATCCCATCAAATACTCTATCCTAAAATTCTTTAAAAATTTACATTACAAATATATTATATACTTTTAGATGATATTTGATTTATTAAATAACATTATAAATATTACATACACATGCAAAAAGAGTATGAAAAATATGTTTATTGTATATGGTTAGAGAACACTGTTCAATTTGAAGCCAATAGGTGTCATAATATTAAATAATTACCAATTACATTTAATGAAAATCGAACATATATGTTTGATTTGAGTCAAATCAAATTTAATAAACTTGATTCAACTTGAAAATGATTTGAATAATAAATTAATACTCATCAATTTAATTAACTAGAACTTTTTCTAAATAATTTAACTTGACTCAATCGAATACTCATCCCTAATATTAAAAATTCAATACCCAGCTTTTTCAATTTTTTAAAAATAATAATAAAACAACAGTCATCAATTCAATTAACTAAAACTTTTTTTCCAATTCAATTTTTATCGAATACTCATCCTAATATTATACAAAATATGATAGGCCATCAATTCAATTGCAGTGGGATTTTGTAATGAAACAAAATCTGCCTTCAATCATCGGCCATGTTTTCTTAAGCAAGCTTGGTAGGCCAATTTCAGACTGGGATCTCTTAATATTTGTTATTCTTAAAATACATACGTGTTATACATACGTGTGACGAATTGAAGATTGCTGGCTTATTTGCAGCAAGCAAGCAGCATAGCAGATATGATGAGTTTTGGGTGTGAATGAATAAGATTATATATGTGTTTGTTTGTTTATTTATTTTTTAAAATATTTATATTCAATTCTTTAGTTTGTTTTTTAAGGTGCTTATACCCAAGTGATTTAGTGATTCATTTAATGTTTGTTTTATTCGAGGTTGGTCCTAACTATTATTTAGCTCGGGGTGAAATTAGAAAAATGGATCCTAATTCAAAACAAAATTTAAGAAGTATGTGATATAAATTTTCTATTAGATTTTTTTATTAAATTAAATAAACAGTAATGCATTACATATTAAAAAAATAAAAAATGTCAAAAATATATTTAAGCATACAAATATATTTATGTGGATATGTGTGCGTCATCAATGATTAATAAAGATTGTGAACATCATGAACCGAGTGACCTCGATAAAAAAAAGAACTATTGTTATTCATTGAGATCCGGGTTCGAGCACCAAGAATGCCAAGGTGTGACGTTCAACGTTAAACAGTCAATGTCAAATGCTTAAGAATTATCTTTGAAAAACACTTTCTGTACTTCCCGTATTAATAAAAGAAGAAACAAATTCTGAACCGATACAAAATAGAACCCTTACTTCTCACTGTTTTAAACTCTAAAGTTTGAGCATAGTTCACACCAACGCATTTTTAAATAAATATAAAACACAAAAAAGAAAAAAAATGTTGGTAAACAAGCTTAACAAATTTTAAACGACGTTAACATAAACGAAACCAACACATATGTTCGTGTTCGTTCATTTATTAAAAAATATAAAAGTTTTATTCATGTTTTTATTAATTTAATAAGGAGCATAAATAACGTCATAACAACATTTTATTTATCGTTTTGTTAATTTACACCTTGATAAGCCCCAACGTTCGGTTCATCCTGAAATCGAATGGAACAATACCAATGCCTGCTTGTGTAGAGTCTTCAATAATCTGGTAGGGGCATGTGGACTTAAAATTCCTTCATCGATGATCGGACACCTGGCCCTTCCGCATACCTACTGTTCCAGAAGAAAGGCACCGCATGTTGGGCGGCATTAGCTTCTACCAACTTGCTATGGACCCCCCCGCTTTCACTTACCTATATTAATGCACAATATGAACATTATTCACGATTAAACAAAGAAAGTAGTTACTGTTATGAGGAAATAAAGATACGGACATAAAGATTATTATTAAATACTCGTGGCATAATATTAAAATTAATCTTTTATCAAAATATACGCTTATTGTGTATTTTTTTAAAATATTTTAATTCAATGTTTTAATTTTTGATTAATCTTTTATCAAAATTACGCTTTATTGTGTATTTTTTTAAAATATTTTAATTCAATGTTTTAATTTTTGATTAAAATTATGAAAACAGTTAATGCAGGTTGTTTATGTGTCATTTTCACATGTGTTACGAGTCATTATATCATCTTAAGTGACACGAGATATGTCAACTCATCATCTTAGATGATGTGATATATATCAATAATTTAACACACGTTAAATTGTTACGTCAATAATATTGAGGGCTAAAGTACTAAATTTTAACATTATTCGTATTCTTTTGAGATGAAAATGAAATTAGTGGACGACAGAAAAAGCGGTCCACATCTAACTGGTGCATGCACATAGACATAAAGAAAGAAGCTTGTGGTCACCCGGGCCAATATTTTGGACTCGAATGTTAACGTGGTGATAGCCCCAGTTCAGTGTCATAAATGCCACACCCCACATGCAACCGTCCATGAATATGATACCAAACAAGCATGAGAAACTCGGATATCAAACACTGAGAACAAATTAGTACCTACCTATCTTCCACTTGGAGAGGTGTTATTGGTTGTTGTTGTTAGTCTGGAATATGATACCAAAAGCATGAGAAACTCGGATATCAAACACTGAGAACAAATTAGTACCTACCTATCTTCCACTTGGTAGGTGTTATTGGTTGTTGTTGTTAGTCTGATACTACTAGTGGGAGCTAATGCCATTGGACTTTGCGTTGTAGTTTGGGGGCCATATCCAAATATATTCATCTGCTGCAAACACAATGATGGTAAGCTTACGACGACGAAATAATGAATGCAATGCCTCCGGACACATACCTGAGAGGCATTATGCTATGATGGAAGCCGAGAAAAAGCGCATATTGGTCGGACAGCGTCGGATTCTGCACTTGGTGTTGGTAATTAATCGGATTCAACTGTTGAGTTTGTCCCGTTGCAGTTTGCAGAGGACTGTGAATAGAAGGTATTGCTGTGGACCTATTCCCCTTCCCATGCGGGACATATAATGTGCTTCCTGGAAACATCATTGGGGCATCCCATTTCCCATCCACATTAACTGAACACCACAGATTTCATGACAAAAAGGATATGGTAAAAATACCGACGCGGATTTAAATTTTAGTCGTGGTCGTAGACCTAATGGATGTTTCATACCTGAAGCTGTAACTGAGTGACTTCAGATATTCATTGCCTCATCTAGCATAGATGCCTTGTCTGTCTGCAGCAAAAACACTAATTCAGTTCGGTCGAAATCTCGTATTCTTTTATGTACGATTATAGACCATAGTCTAAAATCTGTAAACGACCTTGTTGCAATTAGGAGCTCTTTCATGCTCGCATCTCTCGTTGATCCGATCCCTCCGTCTCTGCAACAACATTATAAGCAACTCTATGAGAAAACTACATTCATGCATACATACAAGTAAAATTCTTTGTAACTATAACTTATGAAATCCGTATTACTAGAGTACGCCATATTCCCACCCTCTCGGATAATGAACTTCAGCTGCTCGACTCCTGCGAGAAAGACCAGATCGTTGGGGTGGCTTATTTGCGGCAGCAGATTGATGTTCAGCGGCCTGAATAAGGTGAAAACAATTTATGTTCATACCTGAAATCACAGTTCACTTTAAAGGGGGGAAATGTTAAGGACAGTGAAAGCGAGTTTCACCTCACTTTGACACTCATAATCCTCCCCATCTATGCTCTTCCTTTTATGGCTACTCGTGAATCCGGACCCGCCCAAAGAAGTAAAGGTGGGTTCAACGGTCTCGATCTTTTCTTTCTCGCTTTGGAGAGCCGCTTTTCGAGCATCGTCTTTGGATGTCTCGACGGAAAAACCGGTTGCCGTAGTTCCGAAACCGTTTGCTTGATCCTCGGCTAAAATCGATATCGTTTAGAACTTGATTGCTGCCACAATAGCTTGATCCAACCGTCCAGCCGAGCACTCCTTACCTTCTCTTCGCATCGAATCACCACCTTTACTTTTGCTTAAACCTTGTAAATCTTCTTGTCTTGCGCGGAATCGAACTGAAATTTGGGAGGCGGCATCGGAATCCCACGAAACTCCGGCACAGTCGAAGAAGAAAGGTTAAGTTGGTTTGGGTTTGAAGTGGTTTGATGGTGATCCGTTGTCTGATGGGGTTATTAATGTTATCAGCTTCCACTGGATCAGATAAAGGGAGTTCAGAGAAAAAGTCGGAACAAAACTCTTTCTCAAAGGAATCTTCAATAGGGCATTGGATCCATGAAAGTGTTTCATAATCATGAATCAGATTACTTGAATTCCTGTATGATAAGCTACCCTCTCTCAACGTTGGTTCATCATTTTTTTTGAACTTGTTTCTTTGAGTTTGGCTGTTCAAACTACCTGACCATTTTCCCATAATAACTCAACCATTTCATTGTCTTGGCTGCAAAATTTGGTGTGCAAAAAGAGAGAATGATTTCAAGAGAGAGCAGAAGATTGAAAATCAAAGCAAAGAAAGAGTTCTGATAGCAAATGGTGCAGACCCCATGAATTTTCTGTGGTTGGAGATAGGGAGATCAGACTCAAATTCCAATCAGGAGCTGAGTGATTCATGGTGCAAGCCAATAGGAAAACACCCAGACTTTTTTTAAATTAACGGGAAGATGAAACCCTGCTGACAACAAATAATTATTAGTTAATGGATAAAAGAAGAAGAAAATCAATCGACTGTTCACTGAAGTGATATACTTTGTATACTATAAGGAAACATTCCATTCCATGTCTAAAAAATACAGAGGAATGAAGCTTAACTGAAACTGTAATTAAGATTCTATTTGGAAATGTTTCTTCTTACCGAATAAGTTATGGTTTTTATTATAAAAGAAGAAAAGAAGAAATCTTTGTATAAAAAATTAGAAACCCATTACGAAAACTCGAAGAGAAGCTTTCTTCCATTCTCTTGCTCTGTTTCTTTTGAGTTGAACTTGAAGAGAAGCTAAGAGAGCAAGGAACCTCGAAAGGGAAAATAGTAAGTACTAACCTGGAAAAGAGAGCAGTGGTTGCAGAGAGAAGCGAAGCTGTTTGTTTGTGTGGGGAATTTGAGAGAAGAAATAGACAGCGAGTGAGCGGAAGGTGAAAACAAATTCGGGTGTGTAACATCATGTGCAATTTATCATTTATTTTCGTAATTAATTTCCATGTGGGATGAGTTCGAATCTGGAAAATTATTTATTAATAATATTTCTTATTTTAATTAAAAAAATTAATTAAAATAATAAATGTGTCGGTTAATATTATTAATTAAATTAATATTAAGAAAATTGATAGAATGTATAAATAATAAGTGTTATATACATAATATATCAATTTGATTAATGATTGATTTATTACTTTAAAAGTGATTTAAAAAGTATTCTAAAAAAATAATTTTATAATAGTGTTTTAAAAAATATAATTTAAAATTTAGCTAGTTGTTTAAAATTTAGCTAGTTGAGATTGCGTTAAAATTAGAAAGATAAAATGTTCATTTTAAAAATTATATTGTAAATTAAAAATATAGTATTTAAATTATCTACACTTATTAATACTATGATACTTGAAATATATCAACTTAAAGTCTTAAACTATAATAAAAATATTTTAAATATTTTAAATCTATCAATTTACATATAACAATTAATTTAAACATTAGTAAAAATAACTAAAAATAATTACACATGTATGTTTATTAATTCAAAAGCCAATTAAAATTAAATAATTGAGAATAAAAATATAATTTCACTAAAAATATGATTTTTCACAGCAAAGAGCATAAATTTGAACTTTTGAGATCAGGTTTAAAATCTATTTTTTAACCATGATTTTAAGTATGAGTGTACAAAACTATAAATTTATAAATAGTTATATTATGCTAAATGATCTTTTTGGTCATTAAAGTTAATAAACATTAAACTTTGAATTTTGTTAAAAATTATGCACATATATTATTGTTAAAGGATTAATGCGACACACTAAATTATAAAAAAAATATCTCATTTTCTCCCTCAATGTGACTAAATTTTATTTTTATGTTTATTACATTTTAAGTAATCATTCCAAAATTAATAAAATCATTTTAAAATATATGAATTTTAATTTTTTTTGAAAATTATAAATAATTTTTAAAATTATTTCAAATTATTAAATAAAAATTAAATTTTCTGATAAATGAAATTTTTAGATCTTGAAAATTTAAATTATAAATTTTACATATATAATTAAAAATAAATAAATTTACTATAAAAATTTTATGAATTAAAAAATTCAAAAATTATAATTTTTAAGAAATACTTTTTATAATTTTAGAAATGAATTGTGAATTTATATATATATATATAATCTTTTTTTTTCAGAATTATTACTTACAAATATTAAATAATACCTAGATAAAATTTTAGATACAATTGACGGATCAATGAGATACTTTTCTTTGTTAATTTAATATGTCACATTACCCTTTTAATGATAGTTAAAGATATTGTATCCAATTTGTAATAAAATTTAATGTATATTATGTAACTTTTAAAAGCTCGATGTTCAAAAAGATTATTTTAACGTGATTTAATGAGCATTTTAAAATTTGTACCTTATAAAATTAGTGGTTTATTTCAATGTACGATATGCATTCTAAAATTTTTTGGATTTTAAATCAATTTTTAGGTGTTTAGTATTGCTTATTAGGTCAACTCTTCTTTAAATCTTAACAAAAAAAATATTAATACTATTTAAAAAGTTAAGTAATTTACAAAATTAAAAAATTGAAAGTTAAATATTATTACAACAATAACGGGTGCACATTCCTAAAATAGTAAAATATATTTATATTATGTTTAGTATCGTTCAAACGATCACATAGATTTTTTAATTAAGTTAAAGTAATTATAAAGTAATATATTCTAAACACTATTAACCATTTAATAATTAACGTTTAATCACCCTTACATTCGTCTTTACTCGTGACCACCACATGAATTTTAATTATAAAAAATCTCAAATGTTCAAAACTTTTTATCTTAAATTTGACTTTAACATTGGTTGTAGAATAAGATGTACCATCGTGTTGTAAGAATCATAAATCTTAGAATGATGCCTTCCGATCACATATCCAACTTACCTACTTTATATGAATGGCAAACCATCAAGAATATCACCTAAAAATTAATGTTGAGTTCCATTATTAAATTTCATTCATTTGCAAATTTTGTTACATATAACCTTAATCCTGAGTAATAGGCATGCAAACGAATTGAACACGAACGAGGGTGTATCATGTCCGTTTAACTTTAGTTGAAAAATGAACGAACACGAATGACTAACGAACGAAATTCTTTGTTCGTGTTCATTAAGGAATGTAGTTTGTTTGTCTTCATTCATTAAAATGATAATGGATACAAACGAGCAAACATAAAACTAACCGGGTTTATTTTTTAGAAGAGTTTTTCTTCCCAAATATTTTAGGGTTTATATTTTCTTTAATCGATTTGCATATTTTTATTTGGGTTTAAAATTAATTAGATTTTAAAATATTAATGAGTTTAAGGTTAAATTTATAAGGTCTTTATATTTTAAAAGGGTTTGGAGATTGGTCTGAATATAAATAAATGAACGAACATAACGATTACCGAAAATTCACAAACATAAATGAACAAACGGACCCTCTGTTGTGTTCGTTCATTTAATTAAGCGAACATAAAATCTTGTTCATATCATTCGTTTAATAAATAAACGAACTTCCCGTCGAACAGTTCGATGAACGCTTGGTTCATTTACAAACATATTGAGTATATATATATGCCAATTCTGATATTTTAGTGGTCTGGCGAGAATATAGAAATTAGGTATCTAATAATGAGTATTGAAAAAATTAAACAGTAAAAACAAGTATAAATAACTAAATTTACTTATAAATTATTTCGTTTATTATGTTTAATAAACTATATAATAAATATATCAAATTTTAAACAGAAAACATCAAGGAATTTTATTAAACACACAATACGCACTCAAAATAAGCATGGCTCTATTCTAGAGGACTAAATTCGATTTCAACCTTCTTCACCTTATAAAAAATAAAAGAATAATTAAGTGGAAAGTGAAAAATAATTTAAAATGTCACAT